AGGAACGTTGGGTTGCTCGGTCAATGGCCAGGGTCAACGGCGGCGTGGTGTATTCCACAAATATGCCCGACTGTGAGGGCGGGCACAAGCCGGCGTGAGTAGGTTAAACGTTGAGTTTTATAAGGGAACCACGGGGTGACCAGCCCCTCCCCACCCAGCCCCACCCTCCACCTCCCAGCCCCACCCTCCCCACCCAGCCCCTTCCCACCCAGCCCCTCCCCACCCTCCCCTCTCCACCCAGCCCCACCCCTCCCATTTTTGGATGCACGACGGACGGACACAATAATCCCCTGTGGGCTGGTGTAACCAGGAGGTTCCTACCAGTAATAATCCAATGTCAGTGGAAGTGTATCAGTAACCATCCTCCATATCAACTAAAATGCCACTGCCAGGCTTCGCAGGTTCACCCATAAACAAAAAATACAACACACCAGTACTCCAATCCCTTCCCGACCAAATCAGTTTCAAGATAGCACTCACCATTTTCAAGATCCTCCATGGACTCACCCCTGCCTACGATTTAACTCTACCTTGCTCAGTTAGGTAGATCATTCTTCCGTGCTGCCAGAACTGTTTAGAATGCCCCCTGTCATCTGTGCTGTTAACTCCACGCTCCTGTTCAAATACCAAGGTCAATACATTTTTCCTCTGAATCTTGAGATGAAGTCCAATTTAAAGGTTGTATGAAATCCACATTGTAATGCATAGCAAAAACAGGATTGTATCCGCAGTATTGTACAAATAAAAACTGATTTTTTTAAAGCACAATCAAATCTGGCGATTTAGGTGGTGAATGTTTTATTTGTGCTTGTAGGCTGCATATTACACTAGTGCGTGTTTACATTTTTCCAATTAATAATGTACATTTAATGTTAAAACCGTGGGACAAGGTCGCCACCTACTGGACGGACTGGAATACGGCTTCGTTGAACATAACATCGTGATTTGAAGCTTTCGTGACTGCAGGAATACATACCCTCTGGTTCTTTCGGTCAAGTCACGTAGATAGAAGAAATAATAAAAAGAACACGACGTTTCGGTGGCAACACAAGCGTCCGTCATCAGGTGAGAAAGAATTATCTGCTGTTGTGGCTTTATATAGGCACGGGAGGAAAGGGGGTTTTTGCAGAGTCGTGGCTGCAGGAGTTCACGACTCATGGACATGCTGATTTCTCCAGCCCCCACCCGTCCCTGCACGCGACAACCCTCGTCCCTCTCCCCCCGTGAACTCCTGCAGCCACGACTCTACAAACCCCCCCGTGCCTATGTAAAGCCACAGCAGCTGATCTTTTTTTCTCACCTGATGACGGACGCTTGTGTTGCCACCGAAACGTCGTGCTATTTTTTTTATCTACGTGACTTTACCGAAAGAACCAGAGAGTATAAACATTCAATGTTATATATCAAGTTTATGTGGTTGTTATTCACATTTGTTTAAATGTCAGTGCTGCTTTCAACACTTGTTTAAATCGATTGTTTGGCGATGCTGCGTTGGCAGTGGTGCACAATGCACACAAAAACCTCAAAAAACATTCTCGATCCTCCCCCCTGGAGACCATTCAATTAAAAAAAATAGTTGCACGGTACAATACCTACGTTGAAAGCGATACCTCACTGGATTGACCCAGGTGGCCTCAGGGAACGACTGAAACATCGGAGCACGCATTCTCCTCCTGCTCGGACAGGGGGGAATTCTACGCCACCATCACTGAACACTTAAACAACTTCAACTTCTATTCATCCCCGTGAATCGAAGTTGACACTCCTGTGGCATTAGACCTCAGGGTATATCTCATTACCAGCATGCTCTATCTACATACAAACGTTCTATGCTGAGTGCAAGGAAATTCCATGCCCCTCCCCCCCATCACTTGTGCCCTGTAACAACCTTGACCAGCTAGCCTCCCTCAATCACCTTGGACGCAAAACTTAAACGATGGGATCCCCTTGCCCTCACTTCAGGCCAATTCAACTCCAGCATCTCTCCCACTTCAGTAAAACATTTTCTTCCTGTGGTTGTCACACCTGATGATGATTGCTTGTGTTGCAATCGAAACGTCGTGATTTAATTTATTTACTTAGATATTTTTCACCTACGTGACTTTACCGAAAGAACCAAAGAGTATGGATCCTTGCAGTCACGAAAACTTCAAATCTAGAACAATCCAATAAGCCCCAAAAATGCCCCCCAGACGCCAAGCGGACGGGATCCTCTCGGCTGCCACACGGGCAACTCCCGGCCCCCTTTTCAGCCACATCCCCCCCCCTCTCTCCAGCGAGTTTATATCCACAAAGTCACAAGACCAATCCTTTGTGAGATGCCCACAAGAGACTCTGAAACAAAGTACGCGTGTAATATGTAATTCAAGAAATTATAAATATATATTGTTGGAAATGTACGATGCTTTGAAAAATGTGAATAAATACTTTTTTTAAACTTAATACATCAGAATAAAAATACTTATTTATACTGGAGGAATCCGATGAGCGACAAAGCTCGTTTTCACAGATGTCCAGTACAAGAAACAGTATTTATTTCTAGATTTGAAGCTTTCGTGACTGCAAGGATTCATATTCTTAGGTTTTTTCGGTAAAGTCACGTAGGTAAAAAATTAAAATTAATAAAAGTAAAATAAAAATAAAATAAAAATCACGACGTTTCGGAGGCAACACAAGCTTCCGTCTTCAGGTGGAACCGTCACAGCACGTCACAGCTATCGTGCTGTGACGGTTCCATCTGAAGACGGAAGCTTGTGTTGCCTCCGAAACGTCGTGATTTTTATTTTATTTTTATTTTACTTTTATAAATTTTAATTTTTTACCTACGTGACTTTACCGAAAAAAACTAAGAATAAGAAACAGTATACAACACCCATAATAGAGTTTTTTTGGGTTATATCACGTAAATATTTAAATGTGTCGTTAAACCCGCCACCGCCCGACACAACCGACTAGTAAGGGTTGTCACGTAAACAGAACATGCCAATTCGTCACTAGTACAGCACTAGTGTGTAGTAGTGGTGTATAGTGTAGTGTACAGTAGTCTAGTGTATAGTGTAATGTATAGTAGTGTAGAGTATAGTAGTGCAGTGTATAGTGTAGTGTATAGTAGTGTATAGTGTAGAGTATAGTAGTGTAGTGTATAGTGCAGTGTATAGGAGTGTAGTGTATAGTGTAGTATACTAATACAGCAACACCGGTGTGTTGGAAAGCCAAACCACATTTACAATCTGAGTACGACGTTTCGCCGGTAATCACAACCAGCTTTATCAGGCGGCAGCCAGATTTATGGAGAAGTCCACCTGTTCCGTTCCTTATATAGAGGCGTGGATGTGGTGGCCACAATTGTGCCCTCTTTTTGCGCAAAGTAGGGGAGGGGGATTAATAAGTCAACGTACATGATGCATGCACATTATGCGAGCCCATTGATCTTGTCCTTCCTCTCCTATAAAACGTACAAGAAAGGTAAACAAATCACCCAAACACAAACAAATACAACTAAACCATCCCCATCCGACCAGGCAAAGCCCACTGAGGTATTAACTAACTTTTTAAGAAGCGACCTGGTCACAAATTATCGCTCAACAAAGTGGCTCGTCATTTTGACATTTATAGCAGCAAATTCATCTAAATAACCTCAAATGTGGAGGGAAACCCCGAAAGACCAGGAGAAACAAAAATAACACTACCCTAAAATAAATAATCTGCGCAATAACCCTTCTTCGAGTGTATAAGTCCTGTCACTATTGTTTACAAGTGTCAGTGCTTAACACATTCCTGCGGAGGGAGCTGGTAGGAACGTTGGGTTGCTCGGTCAATGGCCAGGGTCAACGGCGGCGTGGTGTATTCCGCAAATATGCCGAACTGTGAGGGCGGGCACAAGCCGGCGTGAGTAGGTTAAATGTTGAGTTTTATAAGGGCACCACGGGGTGACCAGCCCCTCCCCACCCAGCCCCACCCCTCCCACCCCCCACCCAGCCTCACCCAGCCCCTCCCCACCCAGCCCCACCCCTCCCACCCAGCCCCTCCCCACCGTCCCCACCCAGCCCTTCCCCACCCTCCCCACCCAGCCCCTCCCTCCCCACCCAGCCCCTCCCTGCACGACGGACGAACACAATAATCCCCTGTGGGCTGGTGGAACCAGTGGGTTCCTACCAGTATAAAGTTACCCAAGATGACCCCATGGCTGCCATTGCCACGCAATCACTTCTTTGCCGTTTCTGTTTGTAAACGACAAGGGGGCGCTGCGGTAACAATGAAATGGGACCGCGACCGAATCACCGATCTTGCTGATGATATTAATCAAATCAAATCACATCGTTACTCGATCCGTGGGGGTCGATTGGCAACGATTCGACACAGCGATTACGATCAGGGAAAATCTTCCATATATGGGCAAATCAGATATGGGTAAAATAATGTATATGGGAAAATTATATATGGAGGGGGGGGCAAATATTTGAGTGTACGATGTTATCGTACTCTATCATGTGTTTGTATTGTTTGTTGTCACGTTCTGACCCGCCACGACCGGACATCTGTGAAGCAGAGCTTGGTAGCTTATCGGATTCCTCCTGCGATCGCGTGCGACGTCGTTTTTGAATTGGCCGACCCAATGGCGCTTGTTGCCGGGTCGGAGAGAAAACTCCAACCAATCAAAAGCTGCTCTCCCGAGAACGGCGTGGATCCCGTCAACCAATCGTGTGCGAGACAGCAGGGGGGAGGAAAGCGAACCGACCAATCGTGTGCGAGACAGCAGGGGGGGTAAAGCGAACCGACCAATCGTGTGCGAGACAGAAGGGGGGGGGGGGGGAAAGCGAACCGACCAATCGTGTGCGAGACAGCAGGGGGGGGGGGGGAAGCGAACCGACCAATCGTGTGCGAGACAACAGGGAGGGGAGGAAGCGAACCGACCAATCGTGTGCGAGACAGAGAAGGGGGCGTGGAAAACGAACCGACCAATCGCGTGCCGCCGTGAAATTCAAACGCGGAAGGCGACGGTTTGAGTTGGCGCGGCACTGCGGGTGGGAGATCAACGCAGCGGCGTCGTCGTCGGCCACGCTCCGTGATGTCGTCCGTGTTACAGGGAGTCGGGGTAGTTTGTTCGGGTCGACGGGCATGGCGAGGATGGCGAGGCGGCCACCGCGTGCTGGAGGAGCCCGAGGCCGAGGAGGCTACCCGGCGCAGCCCTCGCAGCCCCGCGCCCCTCCGCACGCCGCTTCGCCCCGTGCAGAGCGCGGCCGCGGAGCCCCGGCGAGGGCGCGGAGGAGGCCTCGCGGGCCTCGCTCAGGTTCGCCGCCTGCGCGCTTATTGTCCTTGCTGCTACTCTATACACATCGCTCTTATTGTCACACGTGTGTCGCTTGTGTTATCCGTACAATTCGTCCGTTATCTTACGTATAAAATGGGAGGGTCCGGGCATAGGCGGAGTTTGACTTTTATATTCTAGGGGGGTGGGGAGGGGTTCGCTTTGTCCCTCAGGATCGCGGGTGCATGTAAATATACTTTATTTAATTTTAATGTTGTAAACTACTGAAAATAAAGATATAAATGTGTCCAGTTTTGGGAGGGCACTGCCCCCTCCCCCCAAACTCCGCCCATGTGTATGGCCGTGCAATTACTACTATTAGGTTTTTTTGGTAAAGTCACGTACGTAAAAATAAATAATAAAAGTAAATAATACATAAAAATATATTTCTTATTTATTGTTATTATTATTTATTTTTACCTACGTGACTTTACCAAAAAAACCTAAGAGTATGAATCCTTGCAGTCACGAAAGCTTCAAATCTAGAACGTGCAATTACTGCTCACGCAACTGCTGGTGGAAGGGCCTCCATAAAGATTTGTTTAGAGGGGATTGGAGCTACTCTTGCACCTAAGACCAAGCGTGTTTGAAGGGAAATACGCGTGCCCACACTTTACCCCACCATACTCTACCTGTCGATGGACAGGTGAGGGGGGAGTCTGTCGCTTTTGAATGATTACTCAGAAAACCTGCATTGTTTACTGATGACTTCTGTATTAATTTGTACTGAGGTTGTGCACATCTCTCCGACTTGCACTCGTTTACTCCATTACAATTAAACCAACCGAGACGACGGACATAACATTCCCAAACTCCGTGGATGGAGTATAATATATTAGAGGTTGTTTTCAGTAAGGTACATAGACTGGCGGAGCCGGTGGGGTGGGGTGGCATGTGCCCCCCCCCCCCAATGATTCGAATGAAATCCCTAATTTCGATTGGATCATTGGGGTTTATTAGTAATAAATCGGCATTTTGCGACTGCCACTGTGTAGCATATTATTGTGCCAGGGACTCCGAGATGAGAGGACAATAGTCTTCAGTCCATAATTGCCAAAAAGTAACGGCAAAGCAGTTATAAGTGACTCATATTTGTGCGCAGTTGCGTATGCAGTACACGACTTCCCTGAAGGCATTCACCTTCAGCGAGCGCGATGCCGATCACACAACGCGGTTCAAATTCGACCCTTGATGGATGACTGCGCCATCGCCGCACACGCTTCGAATAAAAAGCAAGGGACAAGTCTTTGCAACTCCTATCATTTTTCATTGCTGGAGGGGTTGCCCCCCTACCTGAAAATCCTGGCTCCGCCATTGGGTACATACATTGGTTCACAATCTGTGGTCCGTGAAACTGTTCCATTTACGATTCATTTTTTTTACAAAACTCCATGAGGGTGGACAGTGGTCCAACAGGTCCATAAATATGGTAACCACTGCTTTAATTCTTAACAATGTATGCTTCATGTCACTTACACCAGACTCTGCACAAGGCGTATCAAGGCAGAAAGAACTTTCATGCCCTGGAGCCAGACTCCCCATGTCCACCCACAGCCTGCAATCCGGGAGGACTGCATGCGGGCCCATGCAAGACCTCCGCAGGCAGAAGCAGCCCAGCAGGACGCGGCCCCAGGAAGGGCACGGGCAGGGCCACCCGCTCACCCCGGCAAGGCCGCCTATCCTCTCGCAAGGCGGACCAAGGGCTTGGTGTGAGCCAGCGACCCATCCGGGCAGCTGCATTGCGCAGTCCCTACTGCTCTCCTGTTGGTTCGTCGGTGAAAAGAAGTATCCTTGCTCGAAGGTACTGTCGCACAAAAAGCAATTGGCCATGGTTGGTCAATGGAAGTGAAGTATTGGAATTGACGGCAGGAACTTCTTGACGGGTAACACACTTTTATTAAATCTTGACGTGTCACAATACAACGGGTGGTCTCTATCCTTTGGACTATACACTCCACTTAACTCGTGTAGACTCTATGCTTCTGGCTACACACAATACACTTGACTCGTGTAGACCCTATGCCTCTGGCTACACACAATACATTTGACTCGTGTAGACCCTATGCCTCTGGCTACACACAATACGTTCGGCTCGTGCAGACTCTATGCCTATGGCTACACACTACACTCGCCTCTGGGTTACACAGAGTCCCGGTCCCGTTAGGACAGCGGGACTAGGTACCACAGGGCCCTATGTCTTCATCCCCGTCTTCATTCTTCGCTGGTTACATACTGCCCTTACGCCTGTGTGCATCCCCTTTTATAGCCCCTGCTCACGAGAGACGGAGCTGATGCGGACGTCGACGTGAGCATCGCTCCTTAGTGAACCAATCACGACGCACTCTCTCTACGATCCGTTTTCCCCAGCGCGTGTTAACACCACTCCGCCAATCACACCGCGCTGCCACCCGGTCATTCCCTCTCCGCGCATCACCGGCCCACAGCCAATCAGTACCCCGTAACCCACGACCCCGCGCTGACCCCTGATCCTCCACCGTCAGCGCGCGTCACCACATACACAGCCAATCATTACGCGCTGGCATACGATCCCTAATCCCAGCGCGTATCACCACTACAGAAGCATCAAGGTCTCGTGGGATATTTGACTAAAACTTTTGGGTACTTAATCAAAGTCCGAGTAAATGTGGTCTCCTACTCAAATGAACATTGAGGTGGTGCTTATCTCATATTGACAGACTTGAACCAGTGGTGGAAATTCCAGATTCCTCGAGTGGTGGCGAACCTATCCATATGGTAACCACTGATGACTTCACCATAAAGTGGTACTCATCTCCCTAGCGGGAGGCTGGGCCGAGTCAGTCTGCCAACTCTGATTTGAATTGACAACCATCCAATTGCGAACTTCTTGCCACCACGGAGCCTCCTGGCCGGCATTGATGGAGACTGCACTAAATGCTTTGGTATAATTTATCAAAGTGTTATAAAGTCCACACTATGAAAAATACAAATTATTGCTCAAGCAATGGGGGATAATGGTAATTTCTACAAGTACTTGTTACATTCTGAAAGAGTGGCTCATTTGGGATGTCATTGTTGCTAACTCCTTTTTCAAAAACAAGCATGCTCATGGGCAGCTGGTAATTACCAGCGAAATGTCACAGTACTCAAATTGTAAATGTGGATTTACTCTCCAACACACCAGTGGGCTGAAGTAGTAACTAATTTGGTACATTTTGTTTACGTGACAAACCTTACTGGTTGGCTGTGTCAGGTGGTGGCGGGTTAATGGCACATTTATACTTAGGCTATCTAACCCCAACAAAAACCTTTATTACGAATAATATTGGTCGCGAAAGCCTATGTGTCATTGGCACTTTTGTGTGTGTGTTTTTTTAAGGGGCAATTTCATGACTCCTCGGCGATTCCAACAAGAGCTTGACCATGTGGCCAGTGGGATACGCAACCTCAAGAACGTCTCCAAGTCGTTTGATGATTGCATTGAAGAGGATGAGAGGTGTGGTATAGAGCAAATAATGCACACATTTGGTGTCATGACAGCCATGTACTTTTCAAGGAATCGCACGTTTGAGCAAAGTTTATCTCAAAGTAGATAACTGAAGTGCATAATCATCACCAAGGATATATCCACTGCTGGTCAGTCAGCTTTGTGTAATTTTGTCCCCATCCATCACAATTATCATCAGCCCCTGTCCACCTCAACCTCTGGGGTTATGGTAGTTAGGAAATATATTGTTGTGGTTATAACAGTTACGAGTATAATATTATACTATAATGTTAGTTTCATAGTTTATGTTAGCACTGTTATAGTTATTGTAGTATCATGTGGCGTAACCAAAAAATCAACTGAATGGGTTATTTCAGTGATATGGTGTTCTAATTAACTTTATTTCTTCAGTGAAAAATTTTACTTGATCCTTTACGTTACAGCCATTAAAACAAGTACAACAATTTCATCATACATTGATAATAAAAATATAAATTCATAACAAAGATAAATTGTGCTAAGTTTGTAATCTCCACACGTTGTGATTAAATGTTTAGACCCAATTTATGTGCTTGACAGGTTTATGCATCATATCCCCCATATGCTTTGTGTTAAAGGAAATCAAATACGTGTTTTAAAGGAATAGTGACACTCGAAACGTTGCTTTCTGTTGGAAACGTGAGAGGTGATGGTGGTGAATGGAGCCTTTCAAATAATGGAGCTGTCATAAGATGTTAATTTTAGTCTGCCGTATAATGTAGACACAATAACGGTGAAAATGCGGCACATACATACTATGCAGAAAAAGGGTTGTTTAACACCCATCCAGTTATGACCAATGAAGTAATAATTTGACTGTTGTGAAATATTGAAATATTTTGGTGATATTACACCACAAAGTGAGCAGGAGAGTATGGTTGGAATTTAATATAATGTCTTTAATATAAAAAAGATCGTATAATGTTAGTAATCCTACGCTTTAGTGGAGGATACAAGAAGAGATGATGATGGAGAAGGTATGGTGGAGGTGTGGCTTTTGTGGGTGAAGATGCCCTGTATTTGAACACTGCATATTGAATTATTTGCACACGCACACGGTTATTGTTTATTTATGGAAACCAATGGCAATACTTTCTTCGGCAGTGATTTGATTCCTATATATATCCCAGAATGAAGAATCAGGTAAAGTATGTTTAAAAGTACCATACTTCATTTCACAGCGAAATAATAGGCATGGCTTAATACTATATATGCATCAAGTTACTGACAGCTTTTTAAACCTCACTGCTTCACAGTAAAGACAATTGCACATTACCAGAATGTTCACCTCAAACATGAATTAATATATAATTCTGGATATTATTAAGGATAACTTTACATGTATGATGTCTCTTGCTACAGCACGAAAGCATGATAACTCACATGAGAACTATTCAACAATGGGTAATTACTGACGTTCACCTGCATGCTGCAATATGCAAGTACAAATAATTGACTAAGATCCTGTGTTAGCATTTCTGCCCCCTATGTATTTTCACATAATCTGCTTTTGTAATCCCCGTAAGGAATTGGAAATGGACTCGCAACGCATAGACTTGCATAAGCCATTTGGTACTTGCACCCCTGATGTGTGGAAGACCCCCAGAGTTGTACAACGCAGAATTTCATCGTTGCCACGAATCTTGACAATTCACCGAATATTAGGAACAGTAGCTCGTTAAATGCCTATTTTAAAATAGCGATGCGATTGTATAAGCTGTACTTCATGTTTCCACATGTCAGTTGTATGTCAAAACTGGACCTGTTTTTAAATTATTTAAAATGCTAATGACATTTTGGTTTAACCCGTTTTTAAATGCATCGATTGCTTATTTCCTGTAGGCGGGCGGCACGGGAGCAGTGCTGGCAACTGATGGTCTCAAACTTGTGCGCGACAACCGGGAGGCACTCTTGCGGTTTCAAACGTACATCTCTGCACCGCTTCTCCGCTCGCCTTCATTCACTGGGCAGTCTCGCGAACAATGTGATCACCCAAAGAGGGAAAAAAACATAAATAATGTGACCAATGTGTTTTGCCGATGAGAACAAAAGTCACACCAAGGTGTTGTAGCCTAATTATGTATGCAAACAGTTTATTTGTGCTTTCTTAAACTGCCAAACTGAAGAAAAAGTATCGCATTGTAGCGATTCTAAGAGGTCAAACACTCGCATATTGATGCTTTTATAACTTAATAGTTCTTATGTCTACTATATGCATTCCACTGCTAAAATTTATAAACCATAGTGCTGTTATACTATGCTCTAACTTATGGTGATAGATGCTGAAACTATCTCACAAACACGTTACCTATATATGCAATATGTACACACTACCTGTTAGCTTACAGAGTTGAAGAGACAACTCGTTTTTTCCAAATCTTGTTTTTTGTGGGTAAGGGGGCATTTGCCATACATTTCCTATTCTGTGCCAAGCAAGGGAGTTAAATGTTAACATCTTATAGCAATGTAAAATTTTATTACTGTATTTGCTGCTTATTTTAAAATTCTACATTTGCTTAATCGTCATTGTGGAGTGTTAATGATTTTTCGTATGTATTCTTTTAAAGGCAATTAGTCTTGTCGTGACGTTGCAATTACAGTTTTTATTTTTGGTTGAGAGGTTAAAATGACGTGCCTCTTCAACGTCGTAGTTCAGATTATTTAGATGCAAGATGTGAATGTAGCATGTAATCTACGTGCTGTGCTCGGGAGGTAATCCCAGCATGCAGAGGCTGCAGATTATCCATGTTCCACAGTGTAACGCGATCCTGAAACAGTTGTTTGTTTATGGAACTACTTATACTGGTAGGAACCTCCTGGTTACACCAGCCCACGGGATTATTGTGTCCGTCCGTCCGTCGTGCAGGGAGGGGCTGGGTGAGGAGGGAGGGGGCTAGGTTGGGGGTGGGGCTGAGTAGGGAGGGGCTGGTCACCTTGTGGTGCCCTTATAAAACTCAACGTTTAACCTACTCACGCCGGCTTGTGCTCGCCCTCAGTCGGGCATATTTGCGGAATACACCACGCCGCCGTTGACCCTGCAGGCCATTGACCGAGCAACCCGACGTTCCTACCAGCTCTCTCCGCAGGAGAATGTGTTGTTGCAAAGTGTTAACTGGTGAGCAAGCGGAATCCGTTGAGCAGCTGCCCCCTGCAGAAATTCCAAGAGGTGGCAGTGCTCTCGTTGAAATGCCTCTTACACCAAGGCATTGTCTACCAAGTATTGTAAGCTTGCTTTGAAATTTCAAGTAAAAATTGTGACCTGTTACATTTCTGGAAGAAACTTACTCTTGAGTATCAGATCTTTTGTGCAAACAAACATTGTCAATGACTGGCATATTTAAAAGTCAAACATTTTGCGGGATATTTTGATACATTTTAGCTGGCAGTTGTATTTATGGTCATGGAGTTCATTCACTACACATGGAAGGGGGGGGGGGGGCTCCAAAATCTGTACAAAGGTAATATTATTGACGAGAGATGCGGTAGACGAGTACAACTTTGAGCACGAGTCTTATTCTCATGAATAAAACAATAAAATAATAAAAATGTAAAACAATAAAAAATTATTGTGTTGCAGTCGAAACGTGAGAATTTTATTGTTTGTTTCCCTTCTACGTGACTTTATCGAAAGAACCAAGACTATAAAAATGCATTTTGTTTTTGTGTCTGAAGTGGATTATAATTTCAAACTCGGGCAGAGTTTATGGAATGAGATTGCTGTCAGGGGAAATACCTTTTCCATACGAATGTCATCTACTATTTTTGTAATTTTAAAATATAACCGCTTGGTTAATGGCACGAACATTCAGAATGCTCTGCAATCAAAACTGCTGTGAATCTTTAACCTTTTGTAATTGTCCATACTGGCTAATGGCCTCTGACCTTCCACCCCCACGGTCCCATGATGCAACAATGGAACTTACTCTTCATGAATCCTCGCTCCAGCTCTCGTAATGGTCGTCTTCGCAAGGCATGTTTATTTCATGCCATGTCAGCCTTTCACGAGTCCCAACACATGAACTGATGCGTTAGAAGACGTCAAATGTAATAAACGCCATTGTCAAGAGGTGTAATAATAGCGCTATATCTCGTGAGTAATATTGTAAATATTTTGTCGAATCAAGCCAGTTAGAACATTGATATGTCGACACTTTGTCAGCTTCAATTGGGTTCCTTTATATAAATTCACAGTGACCTAATAGTTAACTTTACGATTATCACGAAATTTCACGTGTCTCAATGGTCGCGTGAGCAGCTCGCAATCGGAAGGTTCGAAGTTTAAATCACGTTTAGGAGATGACTCGACCCATCATCCATATGTGGTTGATAAAATTATCTTCACTTTGTAGGTAGGTCAACTGTGGCTGTCTTATGGATAGAATTCCCCCCCGTGCGTCGGATCGTTTTAATTTCCATCATTGGCTGAGGGCTGTAAACGAAATGAACACCGTCTCATTGCTCACTAGAGCGGGACATCACTGAAAAGTTCTTAAGTACTGTACTGTATACCAATCTCAGGTCGTCGTGGTTCTTTTTTTCATTGCGTGCTTGCTTTTTTTGGATTGTAGGTCCTTGGGAAGTAGAACTGTGAGCCTCGCTGCATTTGGTGTGGTGTGTTGCTTGTTCGGAGCGAGCTCACGGGAGACAATGTAGGGCCCCACGGAGACTGGCATTTCGCGGGCACAATCAATCACACATCGGTTCCTCCTGGCCTGATCCCCCAAGCCCCATAAGGATCAGCTTGACAGGTGCCTAATGTGTCAACGCACCACGGAATACTCCGACAATAACATCATGTCCTTTTTGAGTGGAGCTATTGTAAATGATCAGCCTTCCAAGGAAAATAGGCGTTCACATGCACAGACAACTCGTGCACATGGGAGGCCAATTGAGAGGAGACGACACAACAAGAATATTTCAATATTTTGCCTCTAAAATTCAGGTGCAATATAATATCCGTTGTCGTGTCAGCTGTTTGTATTACGTGGTTTAAAATTAATGGTGTCTTAGAAAGACTAATGGTTATCACTCAAAAATAAAAGATTCCAAGATATTGTCAAGGTAAATGAAAATTGTTGAAAAGACCGTGTTGATGTTATTACAGTATGTGTTGCGGTACAGTACATGTACACTTCAATTGTATAGGCCAGGCAGTGGTCGGCAACCAAAATAACGAGACTTTTTTTTGGCGAAATCGGTAAATAACTCAATATTCTTAGAGCCGCAATGCAACGTGAATAACGTCACGAAGCAGTACTTAAAGAGCCCAGGTTGCCGACCCCTGGTAGAGGCCATTTAAAATGTTTTTCCTTTTCTTGAACATGACCAACAATACTGATTAACAGTGCTTTGCAATGGCACCGATTTGCAACAATTCTGTGAAGATTACAAACAGTATATACATCTTGATTCTTTCGGGAAAGTCACGTAGAACCAAGAAGATTAATCCCTGCCGTCACGAAAGCTTTAAATCGAAAAAGTATATACATCCTCTTTGCTTCTTTCGGTAAAGTCACATAAGTGAAAATAATAAAATTCACCATGGAAGTGGAGAAGGATGGCAAGCTACCGTTCTTGGATGTTCTGTTTGAGAGGAGGCCCAATGGCTCTTTGGGACATTCTGTCCACAGGAAGGCCACCCACAGATTCCTATTTGAAACCTGATTCCCACCACCATCCGGCACAGAATAATTCCCTCATCAAAACACTACACCATAGGGCCCACTGCATTTCTGACCAACACCATCTGACCAGTGAATTAGAACATGTACACTGGACCCTAAAGATGAATGGATATTCGGACCAGATTATCCGCAAAGCTGTTTCTCCAACCATAGAGAGACAACCTCCTGCGACTCCGATCAAAACCATCACGCTGCCATACATAGGCGGTACCAAAAAGATTTCCAAAATCTTAAACAAACAAGATCCAGGTCCAATTCAGTACAATACACAAAATCCGTGAGCTGATCCCATCCGTAAAGGATGTCATTCCTGACTTGCCGTACCCTGGAATCTACAAACTGAGTTGAATTTGTGGTGATTGTTACATTGGGGAAACGAAACGACACATATACCATATTCGCGAGCACAAGGCAGATTTGAAACACGGCAGGACGAATTCTTCCACTGTGGCTGATCACTGCTACAACGCGGTCAGCTCTCATGATATTGTTTTCTCCGACACCAAAGTGCTCTGCAAGCCGTCTGGATACCACCAGAGATTTGTCTATGAAGCCATCCAGATATACAAACATAGACATAACTTCAACCGAGAAGATGGATTAAAATTGAGCAATCATTGGAAGGATGTTATCAACCAGGTAAAATCTTAGTCTTCCTTTAGTTTATTTCATACCCGTATCTCCAGTCTCTTCAACACCCCCCCCCCCCCACACCACTCAGTGCACCACGCCGGCATTGTGTCACATCGGCGATGTCGTTTCCCCCCACTCTCCCCTCCCTACTCCGCACCCACCTCCCGTCCCCAGAACCTCTCCCAGCTCCGGCATTGTTCTCATCGGCCGTTGGTGAATGATTGGTTGGTGGCACTCAACCCCACCCCTCCACACCCCCGCCCCCCTGGCTCCCCTCCCCCCCTCGTGCCTTATATAATATCTTGTTACGAGCAGCTCTTGTCCACTCCAGCAAATTATGTTTTGCTGTGGCTGCAGCTTGTGCTGCTTCCGAAACGTGATTTAATTTAGTTAAATCACGTTTCGGGAAGCACAGAGAAGAACAAAGCTGTGCACGTGTCGTTCCTTGACCTTGAAAATGCATTTGACAGGGTCCCCCACGACCTCATCTGGCACTCGCTTCGATCCCATGGAGTCCCTGAAACCTACGTGCATTGGGTGCAACTCCTATACAAGAACGTCACCAGTGCAGTCAGGTGTGCAGTGGGCTTATCACCGCCATTTCCCATCAGCGTTGGAGTGCACCAAGGATCGGCCCTGTCACCACTCCTGTTTATCCTGTGCATGGACACGATCACTGCCGACCTGCACACGCCCCTTCCATGGTCAATTCTCTATGTGGATGACGTCCTACTCTCAGATGAAGAGAGAGGAGATGTGGAAAGACAAACGCGCCTGTGGAAGGAACGTTTGGACGAAAACGGGATGAGGTTCAACATCAAAAAGACGGAGTATATGGAGTGTGGCCTCCAAACCGATGGCACCATCAGCATTGACGGAGAAGATCTGAAGAAAGTGACGGACTTCAAGTACCTGGGCTCCACCATCAGCTCAGATGGAAGCATCACGACTGATGTGAGGTCACGAGTCAATGCGGCATGGATGAAGTGGAGGCAAGTCACCGGAGTCCTCTGTGATCGGAAAATGCCGGATAGGCTGAAGGGAAAAATTTACAAGACCATCGTCCGACCGGTGGCACTCTATGGATCCGAGTGCTGGCCAGCCACAACTGTACACGAACAAGCCCTCCATACCATGGAGATGAGGATGCTCAGATGGAGCCTTGGACTGACTCGATGGGATCGTGTCATGAACGAAGACGTTCGGAAGCGACTTGGTGTGGCCCCCATTGCGGACAAGATGCTTGAGGCAAGGCTTCGGTGGTACGGCCATGTGATGCGAAGTGAAGAGTCATCAGTGGCCAAGACTGCCATGCGTATTGAGCCAGAGGGCCGCCGTCCACGCGGACGTCCGAAGAAGCGATGGATGGATCGAATAAAGGAAGACATGAAGACAGTCAACGCATCCCCCGAAGATGCCCTGGACCGAGCCAAATGGAGAAGACTGCCGAAAAGCGGACCCTGCGCCACAGCGGGAACAACGCTAGGAAGAAGAATTTTCATTTTTTTTAATTTTTTTTTTCACCTACGTGACTTTACCGAAATAACCATAGAGTATGGATCATTGCAGTCACGAAAATTCAAATCAAGAAGTATATACATCCACGAAGTTACAAAACCAACCAGTTTACAATACCAATACACGTATAAAGTAGTATTTTTTTTTACGGGCACAATTGCTAACAACATTATCCATTCTAAGACTTTACCATTGTTATTTCGTCGCGTGCATTATATAACGCGTGTTTGGATTATTTTTTGTGCACTCCTTTGGGTATTTTTTTCTATGAGCGCACATTGTATATTTTACCAGGTAAGGCCCACTGAGCCATATAGCTCTTTTTCAGAATCGACCTGGCCACAAACGATGGCTCAACGAAGTGACTTATCACGTGGAAATTTATAGCAGCCAAATACTCTGAACGCGTGTTTCTAAATGGAGAGGGAGAAAAGTCCACACGACCACGGGGAGAGCATGCAAACTCCAAATATACACGTGTTAGGGTCGGGATGGAACCACGACCTCCTCCATAAGAGGCGAGGTCGTTCACACATCGCCACCGTGACGCCCACTTATATTCTTGGGAACGTCACAGTATCATTTCATGCCAAGTATGCATAATATGTGTGCAGTTGTTTAGATGTGTATGATATTGCCGATGATGCGCTCATCATTGGAGGCAGACAGGGCTGAGCAGCTCTCTCGTTACACGTAGTTACATATTCATTGCAAGAGCACGATTAATAGCA